AGGGAAAAGAGAAATGTGATTTCTGCCTTCAGATGAGAGAGGGAGAAAGATCTGTAGTTAATATTGATATACATATACACACACACGTATATCTATATAAAAGATACATTTTGTGTGCTTTCTCACTTTGCATTGTAAAATAGTCAGAACCAGCATATGTCAGCTGAAAGACCCAAGTCTGGCCAAAGGAGATTCCCCTTGTGTAGGGTACAACACACAGGTGACGGGAGAGTTCCTAAAGCTTTGCTTGGAGCAGGCTTGGGGTAGGGGAGCAGTCTGTCCAAGTAAGGAGCAGAGGCTTTCGGGCAGAGAGCTGTGCACTGCTTGGCCAGAAGTGTCATGTTACAGACCTGTTGTTTGTATAGGGCTGTCATAAAATATGTCCAAACATTACAGTATCATACTAAGAGTACTCTGATTTGAGACGGACTTTAGACATATGAAGCTGTTAGTGTGGGATATAAATGCCCTAAAATAGTCTGCCCCTCCGCAGACCTTAATAGCTCAGGCACAATGCTGTTCTTATTCAAGCAGTGCAGTTTTTGTTCAGAGCAAGGAAGATGGAATATATCTGGCTCATACAGTTGAAAACTGGGTGCTGCTTTAACTGAGCCATAGGTACTTGGTCCATTCTTAAATATGCTTGGGCAAGACAGAAAGGTGGCTTAGACCCAGCTGTTCCTGATCCACCTCTTGACATTCCTTTTTTGTCTTCTCCCCTTGCTCTTGTCTCAGGTTCTGTATTGTAATTCAGAATGTGACCTGGTAGTGAAGTGGCAGCATGCAAAGTCAGAGATCTGGGTTTTGGATCTTTTCTAGTCTTCCTCTCTCTTTTAACTATTTTTCTTTAAAAATAATAACTGTTGAATAAGCAATGTAGAATGCTAATTTGTGTGTTGAAGTGTTTAATAGGTTTGTTTGCATGTGTTTTCTAATTCAAATCGCAGAAGATATTCTGCTGACTGAACTGAAACCTGGTGAGGAGTGTTGAGGGAGTGAAGGTTTAGACAACTTTCCCTGTAAAACAGGCATAGCTGATGATTAATGTGACATTTCAAATTGCTGCTTATTGGCATGCTTTTTTTTGGGTTCAATGGGTTAATAGAGGTAATGTACTTGTGAATGTTCCTAAAATTTATTTTTTTTAAGTGCACAGATAACTTCAGGATAAAGTGTGCAGAAAAAATGTTTATTTTTCAACCATTCTGTTTTAACTAGCACTGATGGAGCCCTTGGAGTAAGTATCAGTGCCCCAGGAGGTGCTATTGCTTCTGTTCCAAACTGGACTCTGCGAGGAACACAACTCATGAATGGCACATCCATGTCTTCTCCCAATGCGTGTGGGGGCATTGCATTAGTATTGTCAGGTAATGTGCTACAATGTTAAATATCAATGCATAGTCTAAATGAGATTAGATACTTTTTCCTCTAAAAAAAAAAAGTGCTCTCACTTTCACATTTTTTTGCTGTATTCAATAATACCCTTATTTTTAATTTCAGGACTCAAAGCTAATGATATTCATTACACTGTTCATTCTGTCAGAAGAGCTTTAGAAAATACTGCAGTGAAAGCTGAAAACATAGAAGTATTTGCACAAGGACATGGTATTATTCAGGTACTTGCTAGCAAAAAACCAAAGATAATATAAATAACTGTCAGTGGAAACTTAACCTACAAAAAAAAGAGCAGCTTTCTATATGAGCTCACTCAGTTCGTTCCGGTGCTACTTGATTCTCAGATCTGACTGAGAGAAGGGGTCGTAGTGGGAAGGGAGGAGGAATGAGACTGTTCTTTCATTTTCTGCATGCAGTTACTGTAGAATAAATGTGTTAACTAGACACATTCTTAGACTGATCAAAAAGATATGTGGACATAAAAGTGGAATGTGGGTTTTTATCACCCACATGTAGATTTGGGTGTCTAAATTCTGTCCTAGTGTCCAAAAATGTTTTTTATACTGTTGTCAGAGAGCGCTGAACTTGTTCTGTGCAGACAAAAGCTGCAACTGTAAGTTCTGGGCAGTGAAAATACAGATACCCACGCTGGTTCACAAAGCAGCACAGCTGCAGTTGTGCAATGACTTTGCTCTAGGCCTGAACTGAAAAGTTTTGCATATTCATTATATCCTGTGGATTTCTAAATAGCTTGGAAATCTGTGATGTGATCCTTTGTATGATGAAGCATAGTGAATGACAATTTCTCTGTGCATAAGCTTAGGTTCTTAAAGAGCTGTTGCTGTTTTTTGCCTACAGTCACTCCCATCCTAGCCAAATAGAGGTACTGAGATTTTGCTCTCATGCTTAAAGACGCTAGATATGAAGTGCTTAGCCCTAAACTCACTTTGTGGAGATACTGGAACCTAGTATGTAGCATCTGCTAAGCACATCTATAACACTGAGTTTGATACAGAAAGCAACAATGGTGGTAGCCATATAAAAAAAAAAAATTGCCACAGAAAAATGCAATGTGCCAGTCATGTCCTATAATTTGGTAGTCTGTGATTAAAGCATGTGTTAAAACATGTTGTTAAAACTCTGATCTGGGAGATCGAGGCTCTTGTACGTCCATTTGCTGCAAAAGAGTGCCCTATCTCTGCTGGTCAAGGTAGCTCACTGTGAAGCAGAAGAGAATGTAGGATTTTTGGAGTCGGTAGAACAGAAAGTGAGACAGAAGGTCTTTTTAAAACAAAAAGGTGACCGTGCCATCCAGGTTTACTGTGACAGCTCATTTACTTTAAATCCAGGGCTGGCTTTCATGACCTGATGCTCTTGTTTCATATCAATAAATAAAACTTAGATGAGCATCCCATATTGCTTGTGTCTTTTCAACTGCTCAACTTCTTGTATTATATAAAAGGTTTAAATGTTTACATAGTGTTGCTCCACATAGAGAGACACTTAAATTAGTATAGTGGATCTGGGCCTTTGAAGTCCTCTTGTCTTTGAAGTCATCTCTGAAAACTTTTGTTATGCATCTTTTGATGGATTTGTAGCAAAGGAGGTTTGTCTTTTTTTAATGTTCTTGGCTTTCTGTGCTCTGTGTGGCTGTTGCAGGCTGAAAATATTGCCTCATTTTCTATACTGAGTACCACATAAGGCGCAATCAGTGTGGCTCAGATAGCACGTGAGTTACTGTTGCTGTGCTGGCTGAACACTTCATATTGAACATAATATGCATAAAGTACTATTAAGTTGAAATGTGTTAATTAAGAATGTGTTCTTTCTAACAGGTTGATAAAGCCTATGACTACCTCATTCAGAACTCATCATTCACCAGTAACATAGGCTTCACAGTTACTGTCGGCAGCAACCGTGGAATCTACCTCAGAGATCCTGCCCAGATAGCTGCACCTTCTGATCATGGGGTGGGCATAGAACCTGCCTTTCCTGAGAATACAGGTAGGAAAGAGCTTTTGTATGGGGGGAGTGGGGGAGGATAAAGTGTAATCTCTAAACAAAAAAGCTGTGATGATAAGGAGTGGTAGGAATCTGTACTGTAAAAGGAGTAAGTGTGACTCTAAATTTCATAGTAAATGAAGGCATGCAGCTAAACAACTTTTCCGTTCTAACCTCGGCGTTACAACTACAGCAGTTCTGTGTTTCAGGGGTTCTGTTGCTTCATGGTTCCTCTCACTGAAAAAGGGGATCTCTCTTCATTTTGGAGAAGTTTAAAGCAAAATTGTGGGGCTAGGGAAAAATACAGAAAAATATTCAAATATCCCTAATGTTTCATGAATTTGTTGAACTTCAGAGTTTCTGTTGTAGATAACTCTTGACAAACAGTGGTGACTGTTCTAAAGGTGAAAGAACTTACCCAGAAATTAATTTCTCAGTTATTTAAAGACTCTAAATTTTAGATTTGGACTCAAGTTTCCACAACCTGTGAAAAATATTACTTTAACAAACTAGATTTACCTTCAATATCTAATAATAGATAAACATACATGTATCTAAAGTCAATAGAGGAATTGGTACAGTTTTAGTTACTGACAGGATAAAAGTAACTTGTGCAACTGAAAATAAGGTTTGACTTATTCACCATATACCATCTTGCCCTGCTTTATTATATGCAAATTGGAACTCACTGAGAGACTGAATTACATTGTAGTCAAAAAATGATCTGAGAGCTTGTTACAGAGATTAATTCCTTTCCTAAAACCAGTGATCCCCCAAGAAGGTTGGCATGTCACAAAGGGGCAAGTTTTTTTAGGGGAAGACGGTGTGAATTAGGATGGGCTACTGACTCAGGTTACCTTAATTGTTTGACAGGTTACATTGCAATCGGTGCTTTTTAAATGTACCGTGTGACATGAACAAATAAAATAATTGTGTGATAGTCTTCTGCAGGAAGCAAACAATCTGAAAGCATAATTAGACATTTGTAATGAATGACTGGCTGGTAGTATGAGGTTGTCTACCTAGTACCTGTCCAGTTGTTATTTCTGTGCTGCATCTGGTGTCTTCAACAAGACTGAGTTTGAGAAAGTGTAGTAAGGTGTTAGAGGAGGCTGATCTGCTCAATCTGTCTGTTGCAGTTCTCTTTGAGCTTTTATTGCTACTCATGTACCCATGAGGGAATTACATCTGATAAGAGTACTCTTTTCTCTGCTTAACAAAGATGTAATGAAATGTCTGAAAATTAAGCTAAGGTTAATTAGGACTAGGAAACATGGACATTTTTTTCAAAGTGTCATTAATCTTTAGAGCAGGAGAAAACTGGTTTTTAATCACTAAAACATTTCAGCTAGGGTTGGGTGCTTTTCTGGAAGCTGTGCTTTGACCCATAGCTTTTTTGACATGGAAGTTAATTTGCTAAATTGGCTAAATTGACTGTTTGCAGCATCAGACTAGATTGTCATAGTAATTTTTTAATAGACTTTACCTCTCGCTTAGGTTGCTCCATAATGTAATTTGGTAACTAGCATAATCTTCAGAATCAGTGCAATTGCTTTTTATTGTATTTCTCGGCATTAGGCAAGACTTTGTATCTATACAAGAGAGTTTATACCTGCTTCCAGACTGTTGTGGGTAACTGAGGCATTGCTTACTAGCCTGTCTTTGACTTTGTCATGTTTGACTGTTTCAGGGGGGAAAATTTCAAAGCTGGGTACAACCTTTATTTTACTATACACTGTTGCTTATTCTGTTTTTCTCAAGTTAAAAGAAATAATACAGAACCTGTCCTTTATGGAGAATCTGACATCCAGGGGCCCTAAGGAATTTGTTCCTATTACATTTTATTGTTGTGTACATTTTAATGGCAAATACTGTGTTATAGTAGAATGTGAGCACATATTTGTGTTATTGAACTGTTTTTTAAAATTTGTTTCTTGACAGAGAACACCGAAAGAATATCTCTCCAGCTTCATTTAGCTTTAACTTCAAATGCACCGTGGGTCCAGTGTCCTAGTCATTTAGAGCTTATGAACCAGTGTCGACACATAAACATTCGTGTGGATCCACGTGGCCTGAGAGAAGGACTACATTATACAGAGGTATTGAAGTATTGGTGTTCTAAGCAAGATTGGGTGCCCTTTTATTTCGTGTGGTCTCTATCAACTTCTTGTAAAAGTAGTTTTTAAGGAAATAAAAGCTGTGTGCTGTACAGACCAGAAAATACTGCCACACTTCATTTCACTCTACAGGCTGAATCCAGGGTTCAGTGATAGTTATGCTGTAGTGTTACATAGCACATGCAAATGGGCCTTGAGTATCTCTGTTTAAAAAATAAAAGCATATAGAAAATATAAACCAAATAACCATTCATTAAGTTTTTTCTCTCTGGATATATTTTCACCTTTGACTATCTGGCTCAGTCCTGTATTATTATTGAGGATAGAGATTTGTGGTTTTATGAGGTCTTAAATATTTCTCTCTTTCTGTGGTGGCTTAAGGACTGGCCTGGCTTTTGTGGTGTTGCCATGCAGTCTTATATGGACTCAAGATTTGCTTTACCTTGAAGAGTTGCTTGGGTACAGTGATGCAACCTATTTTCTTGTTTCCACACCTCTACCCCATCCCATTTTGGAAGGTGAAGGAGAAAAATGTGTGGTAATGTCTGTGTACAGCAGAAGCATTTCGCTGACTTTGAGCCGCTGTGTTCAAATTTGGACAAATTTAATAAGAAAGCCATTAAATTTCTCATTTTCTCTTCCAACCATCCTCTTTCAGTCCTGCAAAAGAAACTCACCAACAAAAAATGTTTTTCCTTCCTCTCCATTCTCATTCAGAACCTTATATTAACGTTGAAACATTTCCATTGCATTGCAGTTGATCATAACGAAGATGATATCAGCTTGCTTTTCAGAAGTAACTTGCTTAAGAGGCTTAGAGTTGCAAGTCTTCTATGGTACCACTGAGAACATTTTAGCAAGGTGATGGTGGAACAAATTTTCAGAGATAGCATTTAAAGCTGGGCCATGAAAGGCACAGTAGATCAAACTGTATTTTCTCAAACATAACCGTCGAAGACAAGGATTAAAATATTTTTAATACAACAATGAAAAAAATAGCTGAAATAAAATAATAAGGCTGTTTAGGATAAATTCTGAGTTGAAACTAGTTGAGCTTTTGATATAGGGACTATCAAATCTGAGTTGAAAGCTTGAAAACTGAGGAGAGACTGAAATGGGTGTAAAAGTAATGAAAACTAATGTTTTGTGTTCTTGGTGAATGTTGCTGTTTTACTATTTCTAGGGCGACAGTGGTCAAATGAAGATTGTTTGGGTTTTTTTGTCTCAGTGATAACTACAAAGATTCAAAATACTCTGCAACTAGTTTAGGTTTAATGTGCTCTGTAATTTCATTTTGACCAAAGTTTTTAAGTGGCTGTATTTTATTTTGTTAGGTGTGTGGATATGATATAGCAATGCCTAATGCAGGCCCTCTCTTCAGAGTTCCAATAACTGTTGTTATACCAACAAGGTCAGTAAACCCAGGCTTTTTCTACATTTTTGAAGTTTAGTTTAGTTTTCTTTACCCACTTGTAATTTATTTCACCACCTTCTTTCTCTGGTAGTTCTTGAACTCACTGCTGACATTGTTAAGGGAACAGATTCTCTCTTTCTGTGGTGGCTTAAGGACTGGCCTGGCTTTTGTGGTGTTGCCACAGATTCTTCTAGCAGACTTCCACAGCAGTGGCTTTTTTTTTTGTAGTTTTGGTCCTGGCAGCCAGAAGGCAGTGTGTTCTAGTGGGCTTAGCCACAGTGGCAGCAGCTTCCAGGTCCATCAGAACACAGATGACTTCTGGGTTGTTTACCAAAGCATCAATCAATATCCTCACAGGTGCAAGTCAGCTGGTGTTCATTTCTTCATTTCTAACTGGTGGACTAGAGTATGTAAAGGCGGGGGCAGGTAAACATGGGGATAAGCTGCCATCATGGCTTTAATACAGCAAATTTAGAGTTAGTATTGTGCCAATCAGTGATTTAAACATGTAACTTCAGTGATGTTGATGAGGAAGGAGAGTGGCTTATTAAACCTATTCAGTGGATAATCTACCCTCAGGAAAAAAATATTAACTTTTCTCTAACTTATTCATAGAAATATTACTTCTTATTTACTTCAGCTCACTTTAGTGGGAAATTACTCAGCCAGGAAAAGCAGGTCCACCGAAAGCTAGAATTCTTTGATACTGACGTTTAAGCACAGTAACTTCGGGGAGGTGAGGAGAGTGTCTACATAGTGTGGTGGAGCTGATGTTTTAAATCTTTTGGGTATGGTGTGCTGTCAGATTCTGTATTAGTACAGATTAAAATAATTGGTGCTGAGGACTAAATATCCTCATTGTACACTTTTTTGACAGTATTTTTGCATTTAAAAATACTTTTTCTAAAAAAAAAAAAGGGCTTCACAGCATGTTTGATTACTGTTTGTATTTTCTTTTTGACATACAGAGTAGATGAATCATCAAGCTATGACCTGACATATACAGATGTTCATTTTAAACCTGGTCAAATCCGAAGGCACTTCATTGACGTTCCACAGGGAGCTACGTGGGCTGGTAAGGAAAATGACCACGTTAATTAAATAAAAAAATATCGCATCTGCCAGACTTGACAAAGTTGTTTTGAAATCATTTTGAGTTCTGTCTGAATGAAAACTGAAGGATTTGACCCATGAATACATAAAATACTTATTTGATTTTAAGCTCTTAGAGGAGTGATTTTTTTGAGTTATCTCATGGTTTCTGATATAGAAAAATCCTGATTCTTAGTCTTCTAGAAACCAGCAAATACCGTAACTGGAGGAATACCCTGTTTAGGGAAAAGTACTAGTGTCTGAGGTTTCTCTAGTTTTTAACGTGTATGGATGTACTGTTGAAAGATGTCTTAACTGAAGATAATGTGATGTTCATAACGGGAGAGTAGCTCATAATTCTGCAACGAGCAAAAAAAGGGGTTTTTTCTCATTTTTTCTTATCTTCATGTGCGAGATTACTAAATAAGGATCTTTCATTTAGATTGAAGTTAGTGATAAAACTTTTAATTTGGAATTCAGCAGCAGTCTGTCCTGTACAGATTATATATCTGTACTATCTGATTCATTTTCACTATTTAGTTCAGTTGTTTCTCTTAACTGATCTCTCAATTTTGCTAGTTTTCCTTAATCTGAAAAGGTCTTTGTAAATACCTGGTATATAAGCATGATTCACATATAGTTTTCTGGTGAATCTCTGCTTTACTTCTAAAATTCTTGGCTCTTTAAACTAATTTTTTTTTCTTTAATCTAGAAGTGACAGTATGTTCATGTTCAGCTGATGTGACTGCCAAGTTTGTGCTTCATGCTGTTCAGCTAGTCAAACAGAAAGCGTACAGAAGTCATGAGTTCTACAAATTTTCTTCCTTACCAGAAAAAGGATCTGTGACTGAAGCATTTCCTGTCTTGGTAAATGACCCTGGGGTGGTGTGGGGGAAGAGGGAGAAAGTAATATATCAGTGGAGTGAACATAACTTATTTTGGATATTTCTTTTTTTCCCCAAAGAAAAACCCCAAACCCAAGAAATCATGCTTTTGTTACCATAGTGAATGTTTCTGCTTTTCAGTTTTGAAAAGATCCCTAATAGCTTACTAGTGTTTCTTAATCATTTGGTAATGCCCTTATAATATGTGTTAATCTCTTCAATTTTTTGGTACTTGTTTATACAAACTAGTTTCGGATAGGGTCTCTGGCTTGTTGGGTGGATGCAGTTCAGCATATTTTGCCTTCAGTGCTTAATGTGGTAATCTGTGACCTCTTGATGTTGAAGCCAGGTGATAACCGACTGGCTTACATTCCTACTGTTTAGGTGCAGCAGGCTTAGCTTGAATAATGTGATCTCAAAGTCCAAAACAGAACCAGGGAGTGAGCTAGGAGTTCAGTGGTGTGGATGATAGTGTCCACTTCTCCAAGTTTGTCCTCTGTCTTGCTTGATTTAGTTGTATAGCTCTAGAGCGTAAGAGTGGTTATGATTTCTGTGCTGTTCAGTCCCCTGCCCTCTGTGGAAACATCAGTTGGGGGACCCTAAGCTAAGTTTGTCCCGTCGACACGTTGTGAATTTTAATTAAAAAATAATAAACAACAATAAAAGCCCCAACCAACCAACAACAACCACAAAAAAAAACAGCTTCACAAGCTTCATGTCATCTTATTTAGGCAGAGAGTGGAATCTCTTCTCATACACATTTTCTAGGGCACACATGTTAATGTCCTCTATGAACTAACCTGTCTGCCTAGTTTAAAGGATAGAAAAGGAAGACATAACACTTAAAAGCTGTACCTTTCTCTGTAGGGTATACCCCTGGCACTCTTTGATGTGGTCATCAGTCATCCTATTTTGTTGGAGCTGTCTTGTCTTTTCTAGAGCAAGTATAATGTCTTACTTGGTGCTGTGCAAACCTATACAAATGGAGTCAACTGGACCTAACGGGGTCTTTTTTGAGCTATACTCCAATTTTTTGGGGTTGTGATGAGGGAGGCTGGGGTGAATAGAAGGGGAAGATGGGAGCTTGAGTCTAACCTTGTGCTTTTTTTACCCAGGCTGGAAAAACCATTGAATTTTGCGTTGCTCGGTGGTGGGCAAGCCTGAGCGATGTTAGCATTAATTACACAATTTCTTTCCATGGTGTACTTTGCGCTACTCCTCAGCTAAACATGGTAAGTTTTCCAGAGTGTTTATTTTGAATTATTCTGAAGTCCTGTGGTATCTTAGAATAAAGAAAGCTTTTCTTCATTCTTGCATGTATTTAGAAAGACTAAAAGTATCTTTATACACCAGGTGTTGATGTTTTCTATTAAAAATAGGTAGATAGGAGTTCAGTCCCACAGAAATGCCTGTTACAGTTATTTATGATTTTTCCTATGACTTTTCATTACAAATCAGTAAGGGGAAAAAAACAGAAAGGAAGAAAAAAAAACCCAACGAACCTCAAACAGGAATCCAAACCCAACACCAGTAGAAAGAACATACTAAAAGGCTGAAATTGCAACTGTACGTACACTAGCAAGTGTTTGTGTGAATAAACTTTGCTGGGACCACAGTCCTTGAACTTGACTATTAGACTGCTATTGCTAAAAGCCAATACTTTGAATACCATTTTCAGAACAAAATATCATTAAAATTTATTTTCTGTTCAGTGTTTTATGGAGTTGTGCCAGTTGGCTTGAGATTGATCATTTAGGGTAGTTGAAGGCACAGTGGATGGGCAGTGTCATGATTCCTAAGGCTCTGTGATACTAAAGGATTGAAAAAATTGCTAAAAACACTAATATCATAATATTTACAGTACTTTGTCTTGCTCCTGTGTTGTTTGCTCTCCTGTGCAATGTGGCTTGGCTTGACTTTGCCTCCCTCAGGAGATGGCTCGCTTTGGGAGCTGCGATGGCGATACCTACAGGAAGCAGCACCATGCTATTTTATCTTGGCTCCTCCCTTTTTTTCAGCTAAGGGCCAGAGCAAATTATAGCTGTCTCACAGGTGAATGTGGATGTACTCAGGCTCTAAGAGCTAAATAAACTGGAGGGAAAAAAGAGTGGGTGCATTGTGCTAAGTTACCAGGTCTTGAACCAGTAGAGCAGGAAAAGAAAGAGCTGGTGGTGTTGGTGTGCACAGCAGCTCCCCCCACCCCAGCAGGATTACATCAACTGAATAATGGAGACTTAAACATCAGAGAATACAAACAGTTTTGCCCTTCCTTCCTGAGCATCTGTAATTTTCATAAAATAAATTTTAATTCTGCTGATGTAATGGTGGATTTGTCACAGGATACTGCTAGAAGAAAAGTTTTCGAATTATTTTGCCCATCACTAGCCTGTGTACGTAATATTGCTTCTTTTTTGCAAAGCTAAACTATTCTGTAACAGTAATCCTAAGCAGAAGCACCGTAAAATACTTGGTTAAAATTTTAGTTTAGTAATACTTACGATTTTCCTTTGAATACGTAATTCAATCACAAATGCACTGACAAAACCCAGCCCTGCCCGAAGTGTGACTTGTGCAGTTCTGTAATTATTCAGATGGGAGGGGCGGGAGGGGGGGGCGGGGAATGTAAGTAAGACTTTAACTGCAATTGCTAAAGTTTTGAAAGTCCCAGTATATCTGCTGTTGTAAAATAGAGGTAAGCTTGTGACAGTTTCAAACTCATGCAGTATTACTTCTCATAGCATAGATAAATACAGCTTGTGTTGCATTTGAGAGGGACATATCAGATGATCCACACCTGACATAAGTGCACAGAAGCTTAACTGTTATATGCTCTTTTTTTTTTAGCATGCTTCAGAAGGCATTGTACGATTTGATGTTCAGTCCTTGTTGAAGTATGAAGATATTGCTCCATGCATAAATCTGAAAAGCTGGGTTCAAACGCTCAGGTAGAGTTTCTGGGGAACTGTTATCAGGAAAGTGGGAAAACTATTCATATCTAGTTAAAATGGTAACAAAGTAACAGTGAAATTTAGGGTAACAACAATATTGTTGTCAAATTTCAAGTAGGTTTGGAAACATCAATTAGTAAAATTTCTCAGCAGTGTCATTTTTGGTTCCTTTTAACTTTGATAAAATTTGAGAATTACGGTGACTTTTTCCTTGCAAATTATTTTCCTTAAGCTAATTTAAAAAAAAAAAAAGTTCCATTACTTCTGAAGGAGACACTTAGAGGTAAAGGGCACTTTAACATCTAAAGAAATACGTTGTAGAGTTATTTGGTGCTACTGTTGCTTTGTGGGTTTTTTTGAGCAGCTGCTTCAGATCCTGTGTGTTTTGACCTGGGAAGGCTGTCTTCTCTCTTGCTTGATTGGAAATATTTTTGTAGGATCTGGTGTAGAATTTTGTGTGGAAAGTTGTGTTTATCTTGTTATCAGTTTCACACATGCTGATTAGGAGGAAAAGCTTTATTGTAAAATTCTGAACCAGTGCAGCAATTACTAAAGCTGGTCACTTAAGGAGGAAAAAGAAACGCCATACAGTTTAAGCAGTACTTCTAAGACTTGGACCAGACAGTTTCACAGTGGTCAGTAATCCAAAGTTTTCCATTATTTGGGCCTCTCAGTGGTGACCTTGGGCTCTGTCTGGGGCTTTTGGATTCTTATAACTGGAATTGAGATCGATAGGAGTTTATCGTTTAATGAACCACCTAACGTTAGATTCAGAAAAAAACCCATTTGATACGGCTTAAGCGAGGAAATAAATCAATCCCCTGATATATCTTTGCCTCATTCTTGGTTTGTAAAATGGAGATTCTCTTATCTCCTTGTTATGTGGGAGGCACTCATCTGACAGTAAACAGACTGCAGTTAGGTACATTTAGTGAGAAATATTTCTGTATTTGAATTAAGGCATGAATAGTGTCTCTTGAATGAAGTAATGAGTCATAACACAGAGGAAAAAAAAAAGTACTGAATGGCTTCTCATTCAGTCTCGAGTTTCAAATGCTTGGAGGCAGGGTGAGTATTAGGAAGATGTATCATGTGTGGTATTACTTAGTTCTTAAGTCTTCTGTCAACAGTTTGTCTGGTGTCTGCCAGACTAGGAAACCTGGATTAAATGGACCTGTGTTTTGATACAGCCCAGATATATTACTGAGTGACTAGTCTGTGCTCTTGGCAATGAAAGAGCTGACAGAATGTTATAGAAAAGCTTTGATCGTGTAATTAAAGGCTGTCAGAATGAATGTATGAAACATAAACTTAAATGATGCCAGGCCACCCTCATTCCCCTGTTTATTTTCAAAGCTCTGATTTTCCTGTATTATTTTTATTTAGCTTATATTCTTTGATGCTTAAGGTCTAAAATGTTTGTGGTGCTCTCAACAGCATTTGAGTTAACATACAGCACATAAGTAGTCTATGTTAATGTTTTTCTGTGTTACTACTCAGATTTCTGTAAGGCCTCTTAGAGAGTCTTTTCTAATATAACTTCCTATAGCAAACAATTAGCAACTGTTTATTCTGTCTTCTAATTACTGTGTCATTAATCTTTCAATCTATGCCTAAAAGTGCTGATGTAGAGTAACCAGATTTTTTTTCCTAATCCTGATGTCTGTTGGTTTTCTCTTTTTTTTTTTTTTTTAGCCTTTAATTTTGGGCATTTAGACATGCTTGCTAGGATCTGTTGGCTTCTTTCAAAGAACGTTACAGAATCACAGAATATTAGGGGTTGGAA